CCTAAAATGAGACTTTTTTTCAAATACAAGCAAAAGTTTATTTAGAAACTCACAGAGGTAGAAAAAGTGAGCCAGCTGGGCTGCATGGGCTCAGAAAACAAGTTACAGAGGCAAAAGAAGGGCCCATGGAGCTTAGGAGAGAGCGCAAAGGCATACACCTTGAGGGAAGAAGAGGGAGAAAGGTGCTGGGTGCTCCAGAAAAGGTGGGGTGGGGGGGAGAGATCCTGAGATGGAGACTCTTATTAGCCTGGAGAGTGCCCCAAGAGGAATCTACATAACAGACCAGATTGAAACAACCTTTAGCTTCCATTAGCATTCCCCATATATTTACAGTGGGGCCTTGACTTACGAGTTTAATTCGTTCCGTGACGGAGCTCGTAACTCAAATTACTCGTATGTCAAATCAACAGTGAACAAGTGAGACACGTGATGCTGGGCTGATGTGGCATTCACTGTGATGTTCGCTGCGCCAACTAGCGGTGGGGTATCTGAAGCTGGCTCGGAACCCGAATTTTAGCTCGCAACTCAAAGCAAAAAATCGGTCGAGAGACAGGTTCGTATCTCGAAAAACTCGTTAGTCGCGACACTCGTAAGTCAAGGCCCCACTGTATCTTCCCAGTTTGCTGCCCTTGGAAGCTTAAAACTATTTTCCTTTGTCTTGTCACTTACCTAAAAATGTACATAAGCCCACATTCTAATTATCCCCTTGAGTTACTCATCTCTGTTTTTTCCCCTTCCCTATACATATAAGCTGATAAACGCTTTTGATCCTTATGACAATGCCATGAGGCAGTTACAATTATTCCCATTTTATGGAAGAAAAAACCGAGGCTCAAAAAATTCAGGAACTTACCCAAGGTCATATAGCTAAGTAATTTAATAAATTAGGCTTGAACTCAAGTTTTTCTGCATTCAAAGTTCGTGCTCTCTGAAGTGGCTTTGGGTCTCGTCTTCACTCTGTCAGGAACTCACTGTAGCAGTTATCTATTGCTGGAAAGCAAATCACCCAAAACTCAGTGGATTAAAACTAATGATTTATGGTTTTTCCTAAGTCAGTGGGTTGGCTGACCAGTTCTGTTGGTGTGGCCTAAGTCAGTCAGGCTACTGCAGTCAACTGAAGGGTCAACTGGGGCTTCGATGTCCAAGATGGCCTCATTACATGTCAGGCCCTTGGTGTGGGTTGTGCACTGCAGCCCCTGGACTCACCTCCGTGTGTTCTTTCATCCTGGCTTCTTCGCAGCATCATGATCCAGCACAGGGTGTCAGGGTTCCCAGAAAGCTAGCCCCAATGTATGAGAGCTTATCAACCTCTGCTTGTGTCCAGTTGGTCAAAGCAAGTCTCATGGTCAAACCCAGAGTAAATATGAGAGGAGATTATACTAGGGCCTGGATACCAAGAGGTATGATTCATTGGGTGACATTAATGGAACAACCTACCACATTTATCATATGACTTGTAAAAAATCCACTGAAATGCAGGTTCTTCATCTATAGATGAAGAGATGAAACTGAGTTAACTCTGAGGTGCTACTACCACGTGTGTGGGAAACAGATGAGGGCAGGGGTGTACTCTCTGAGCTTTCTTTCTGCAGTTCAGATTCAGAATTCCCTGACCTGCTGCTCACTAACTTCCTCATTTCCCTAAAAAAAAAAAAACCCTCCCTAAACCTTCTCAATAGTCTCCCCAAATATCTTTTAATGATCTGTATTGTCTACCTTTAAAAAAAAGGAGAAAGAAAAATGAGAAAGGTCAAAACTAAAACCCTATAGTGCGATGCTTCTAAAGTATGAATTGTAGACCACTAAAGATCCCTGGGGAAGTGGGGCGGGGAGTGGGTGGGGAGGGAGGCAGTGTGTTTGCAGGTGGTGTGGTGGCTTCAGAGGAAAAAGCAACGAAACAATTTTGTTCATCTACTTCACTCACACTTGAAATACAAGACTATTGAACATTTTCACGGGGACCCTGCTATTTCCTTAATGAGCATTGCCTTTTTAGTGTAGCTGGGGGACTGAGGAGTGGTGAGCAGGGAAGATCCTGCAAAAAGGTTAACTTTTCAGCAATGTTTAAGGCGCCATGTTGGCTTGACAACTGTGAACATTGTGAAGAAAGACTGTCAGGTGGAGCAGTGGGAATAGCTCCAGCTTAACACACGGAGCAGGTAAACAAGGGTCTTAATGTTCTCATTCATCCATCAAACAGTGGTGGGAACCCATCCCATCCCCCATCTACCCTCCCCAGCTCTGGCTTCAGAGCTCTGGCCTCGGCTGTTAACATTAACAGTATTCTTGGGCTTGGCTAATATCTCATATTGTTTTACGTTAACAGTATTCTTGGGCTTGGCTAATATCTCATATTGTTTTCAAGCTATTGAGTACACTTGTTCAATTTGCATTTTTTTCATAGTCACTGTTGTTTTGTTATGTTGAATCCACAATTCACATAAATGGGTCAATGACTCATAAGTGGTTCATTGAAAAGTAGTGATGAAAAGTGTGATATAAAAACGCCAACTTAAAATAATGCCCTAAATAAAACCAACAGGCTCCAGTTTAATTGTACTATGAGTCTGTAAACGCTAGTACAAGCGAATCTGCTAGTGATGATTTCTGACGGGCGTTGAGAAAGAAAAGTTTGGATTGGGAGTATAATGAACAATATCTGAAAATTGGATTTGATTGGACCTGTGATCTGTTTCTGATCCCCCAAGGCATAGTCTGTTATGTAACTCTGTTAAATAGTGGGATGAAGACATGGAAACTTTTGTCATTTTCAAGTAAAACAGAGTGAACTCTCTGGTGAATGTATTTCATTTATTCAAAGCAAGCATCAAACAATGCTTCCTATTATGTAAATTATCAAACTTACAACTAGAGAGAGAGAAGGAATTGACCGAAAGAGGCGTGATGCAATGTTGCCCTTCTCAACACGCACATAAATCACATTACTCTGGAAGCTTGTAAAAACAAGCTCAAAATTGATAATATATGTATTGTCAATTAAAAGCAGATTCGCTACTGGCAAAAATAATATCACACACAAAATTGTTATTTTGCTTTCCAGTGAGGTGAAACCACTTAAGTGTCAAGTCCGACTCAGTGCTTAGCAAATATGCTGCACATACATGAAGAGCAAGGTCTGGATGACAGCTTGTTGGTTATAACGGAGAAATCATGCTATCGGCAGAGAGATGTCCTGTTCACTAGTGGTTACTTGATGGGTCACGATGTAGCCTGGCAAAGTGAGAGGTGTCCCTGGAGCAGGTTCAGCTTGACACCAATCCACACCTTAATGTGTTTCCAGAAAAGAATCCATGGGAAACAAGCAAACCATCTGACTTGGTGTGTTGCAAGCAAAGCAATGCAAAAGCCCTGCTTGTAATTGAATTCTGTGGGGCTTCTTCAGCATCATGTGCAAAGAAATGAGCAGTAAATAAAAACCTGGTGAGAATGCCCTAGCTGGTTTGGCTCAGTGGATAGAGCATTGGCCTGTGGACTAAAGAATCCCGGTTCAATTCCCGGTCAGGGCACATGCCCGGGTTGTGGGCTCGATCCCCAGTAGGGGGTGTGCAGGAGGCAGCTGATCAATGATTCTTTCACATCATTGATGTTTCTATCTCTCTCTCCCTCCCCCTTCCTCTCTGAAATCAATAAAAACATATATATTTTTTAAAAAATCACACACACAGCAATTTGGGGAAGGGTTCAAATCCAGAGGAAGTGAATTGGCTGCCCGCCCTGGGTGGGGCAGCATCTCCTTTAACTCCTGGCCCTCCAGGTGATTATGACACAGCGGCTTGCTGGAGAGACAGGTCTTCTTTAATTTTTGTTTGCTTGCTTGTTTGTTTTTAATAGCCTGATGTTCTGGATGTTTCCACACTGAATGTAGGGTCTTAAACTTTGCAAGAGATGTACTCTCAAAGCACCCAGAAATCGATGGCATTTTTATACACCAATAATGAATTCTCAGAAAGAGAGACTAAACAAACAATCCCATTTACGACTGCAATAAACAAAGTAAGATACTTAGCAATACACTTAACCAAGGAGGTAAAAGGTAAAAGACTTGTACTCGGAAAACTACAGGACATTATAAAAAGATATAGAGGAAGATATAAAGAAGTGGAAGAATATACCGTGTTCATGGATTGGTAGAATCAACATCATTAAAATGTCCATACTACACAAAGCAATCTATAAATTCAATGCAATCCCTATTAAAATACCAACACCATATTTCACTGATCTAGAACAAATACTCCAAAAATTTATATGGAATGAAAAAAAGACCCTGAATAGCCATAGCAATCCTGAGAAAGAACAAAGTTGGAGGGATCACAATACCAGATTTTCCTACATAATAAAAGGCTAATATGCAAATCTACTGAATGGCAGAACAACTGGTTGCTCTGACTACAATGACCACTAGGGGGCATATGCTCAACACAGGAGCTGCCCCCTGTGGTCAGTGCCTCCCACAGGGGGAGTGCCCCTCAGCCAGAAGCCCTGAGCCGGCTCACCGCTGGCCAGCACAGTGGTGGTGGCGGGAGCCTCTCCCACCTCCTTGGCAGCGCTAAGGATGTCCCAGGGCTCTGGACTGCGAGAGAGCACAGGCCTGGCTGAGGGACCCCCCTCCCCCCTCCCCTCTTCAGGCTCCCCCCACAGTGCAGGAATTTCATGCACTGGGTGTCTAGTCAAACTATATTCCAAAGCCACTGTAATCAAAACAGCCTGGTACTGGCACCAGAACAGACACATAGACCAATGGAACAGAACAGAGAGCCCAGAAATCGACCTAAGCCATTATGCTCAATTAATATTTGACAAAGGAGGCAAGTGCATACAATGGAGTCAAGACAGGCCCTTCAATAAACGGTATTGGGGAAATTGGACAGATATGTGCAAAAAAATGAAACTAGACCACCAACTTACACCATACACAAGAGTAAACTCAACACGGACATGGGAGGAAAGAAGCAGGGAAGGCAAAACCTGGCGTCTCTATGGTACCAAACACCAACATCGACTCCTGCACAGATGCACACCTCTCAGCAGAACCCTCTGCCTGCACAGGCCACCCCTCACCCCTTCCCTGCCGCCACCAAGACCTCACTGTCCAGAGCTCCATCATGACAGTGGAGTCTCCCCAGCACCTGCAGACTCCCCCGCTGGCGAGCCCCCAGCCCACCCACTCCCAGCCCATGCAAAGCCATCCGCCCGTCATTGCAGCCACCCCACCGGCTGTGACTACACAGCAGGGTGTTACACCACCTCCCGCAGAACCCCACTCACAAGCTGCCTTTGCTGACTCCTGGAGCCCAAGACCAGCAAACTGGGCCCCCAGCGGGAGAGCAGCAGGCCCGTGAAGCCCCCAGAGGAGGAGGTACCCATTCCCAGGACAAGAACAGCGAGGCCTCAGATGCTGCAGCGGTCTCTATAGGAAGCCCGGGTGCAAGCACGTGGACATGGAGGCGCTGGGCCTGCGCTCATCTTGTGACGTCATCAGGTATCCCATGGAGATGAGCACAATCACGTGTAAACTAAAGGCCAGGAAGTCTCGAGATGACTCAGAATTGGGTGCCCAAGTCCGGTTGATGTGGTCTTAACTGCTCCGGGTCCCACCCTCCCGACCACGAGGGCCATGGCTCGGAGGGTTCAGGACGTCTTCACCGTGAAGCTGGAGAAGCGGCAGGAGGACTCCAAGGCGCGCGGGATGGCCGTTCCCTCCCGCAGGGGGCCCCCCGGCCCCCCGGCTGCGAACCCCTTGGACAGCAGCCTCCGGGAGAGACCCTCGACCAGCAAGACCAGTAAGACTAAGAGGGAGCCAGCCCCCGAGGTGGTGGAGATGCGGAAGCAGTTTCAGATCGTGGAGGAGCAGCTCATGGCCGTGACGCGGGCCAGGAAGGTCGCAGAAGAGAAGAAAGAGAGAGACAAGAAGGAGAAGAAGGAAAAGGAGGCGAAGACAAAGGAAGCCGAGAAGGCCAAAAGCCTGGCCAAGGAGCTGCTTCCCGCCAGTGCCAAGGGCAGCCGCAGCAGCAGCAGCAGTAGCAGCAGCAGCAGGACGAGCGAGAAGCAGCGTGAGTTCCGGCAAAAACAATCCCTGGCGCCCCAGCAACAGAAGACCACGCTGGCGGAGTCCCTGGCCAGGGACAGAACCCGGTACATGACCCGCAAGGACAAGTGCCAGCTGGCCCGGGACCTCAGCAAGCTCCCCGAAAAGAAGCTGGGCGGCCTGGCGCGCATCCTCCGCTCCCGGGAGCCCAAGTTCAAGAAGATCAGCAACAACAGGATGGACGTGGACTTGGGCACCCTGAAGCTGTCCACGCTGTGGGAGCTGAAGGACTACCTCGCGTCCTGCTTGCAGAAGACGGAGAAAGCCGCGGCCGGGCCAGCGGACGCGGTTGCCAGCACCTCCGGGTTGGGGTCGCAGTCCATTTCGCAGACGCAGACGCAGTCGGAGTCCGAGTCGGAGTGGGAGTCCACCAGCTCCGATGACTCCTAGGAAGCGGGTCCCTGTTGATTGCACAGGGACGGTTAATAAAATGATGGTCTCACACCCTCCCTAGCAAATCTAGGTTTCGTGCATTTTTCTTTTTCTACGAAATGGCCAGGAGTTATGGGATTCCTCAGGGCCCTGGGCCTCTCCCCGGGGCACGTTGGTCATGTTCATCAGGGCAGCTCCTACCTGATGAGAAGGCCCCCTCTGGGAAGGCTGCTTGCCTGGCTGGCCACTGGGTGCCTTGGTGCAAACTGCCCGGCTGACCCGCCCGCCTCCTTGGTCATCTGGGCTCCTCTGGGTGGGTGGCATCTCCCAGAGGGGATGACAGCCCCCCTGCACATGCACACATGTGTTGTTGCTCCATGTACAAGGCCCGATCACACATTGTAGAACCCTAGAGGCTCTGGGGGGAGTGGGGCGGGTAAGGGATAAGGGGGTGGAGTAGGGGGATGGGGGGAATGGGGGATGGGGGTGGGGATAGAGGGATGGGGATGGGGGGGGTGGGGGGGGATGCTGGAGCTAGAACGCAGAGCTAAGGCCGAACTGAGGCAGTTATAGCTGCTTTGCATGGGCACTGGCTCCTGCTCACTTGTTTTCTCTCTCTTCACCTTTATGTCTTTTTCTGAGGCTCTGGATCCTAACTGCTTCCCTCCTGGACCTGGCAGTGACCTTAGCCCTGGGGAGATCTCATGCAGCCTAAGGAAGAATATTCTAGCACCTAGAACTTTCCCAAGTGGGGAACAATGGCTGCTCGCCCTGCAGCTCCATCAGCCACAGCTGACTCTGTACAGGCTCCTGGAGTCCTTCCGTTTGTGTTGTTCCCATTGTTGCCTGTTGGGCATTTCCCCAACCTCTTGGGCCTCTTCTGAAGTCGCATAAGGAAGGGACCTCCTGGGCAGCCGTCCTTCCCTCCTCTGTGAAAGGAAGCAGGCTGCAGCGGGCAGAAGCCACTGCTGAGGGCATCTGGGGAGGATCGTGGCCCTTGGAGCCCATCATCCCTACCCCCAGTGGGGATCAGGCTCTAGGCTAGTGGTCGAGAAAGGGTTCTTAAAATCAAGAAAGCGGGACTGGTGAGTGGGAGGGCACCAGAGCCCTCGGAGCCAGCTCTCTGCACATCTCTGAGGGACGTGGCCAGTGCCAGCACCCTCCTACTTTTCATTCCCTTGCAAAAATGGCAAATGCCATTGTTCTAGCCTGTTTGTCTCAGTGGATAGCGTCAGCCTGCAGACTGAAGAGTCCTGGGTTTGATTCTGATCAAGGGTACATGCCCGAGTTGCAGGCTTAATCCCCAGTAGTGGGCATTCAGAGGCAGCTGGTCAATGATTCTCTTTCATCATTGATGTTTCTATCTTTCTCTCCCTTCCTCTCTGAATATATCGGTAAATATATATATCTACACTAATAAAAGAGAAACTGCGTGCAAATTGGTGTCACTCTGCTATGCCCACCAGCCAATCAGAGCAACTATGCAAATTAACCCAACAAAGATGGCGGTTAATTTGCATACGCAGGTGTGGAGTGAAGACTGAAGACTGAAGAGGCTTGGCTTCTCCGCTGCGGCCAGACCAAAGGCCTGGATCCCAGGTGCCAGAAGAAAACCGGTGCCAGCAGCCAGGGGAAGGAAAGCCTATTGCACAAATCTTCGTGCAACGGGAATATATATATCATTCAAGTCCTCTGAGAGGCACTGTATTGTCTATCCATCATGCTCCTCTTATCTGGCTCTTACAATCTCACACACATCTTCTGCTATGGTCCCTGAGCCTTAGAGGGGGTATTCTAGGTGCTCAATTTATAAGCAGGGACCACAGCAATGGGAGAAGAAGTAGGCCAGGATGCCTGACTATAAGTAATAATCAGAGCAAACTATAGTCTCTGAGCCTTTAAAAATATATTTTTATTGATTTCAGAGAGGAAGGGAGAGGGAGACAGAAACATCAATGATGAGAGAGAATCGTGGATTGGTTGCCTCCTGCACATCCCCTATTGGGGATGGAGCCTGCAACCCGGGCATGTGCCCTGACTGGGAGTCGAACCATGACCTCCTGGTTCCTGGTCGACTCTCAACCACTGAGCCATGCTGGCTGGGCTAGTCTCTGAGTTTTGAAGACTCAGTTGAGAAGACCTCTACAGTAGATAAAAGGCTAAGAGCTTCATTTTTGCTGACAATCCAACAGATTCCCCTGATTTGAAGTCCAAACAGCCCTGATGAACATCCTGACACCAGCTCAACCAATCTCTCTGTGTGGCTTACACAGCATCAGTTTCCAGAACTGTCTAAGCATGAGCTGTTGTGATGACTTCTCTGAAGCTTACATTCATGTGCTCTAGCTGGGGTCTACAATTGCAGGGCTCAGAAAAAAGAAAAAAAAACAGTTTAATTCCAAGGCAAAGGATGGATGGGAGAAAAAATGGAACACTAGTTCAGAGGGCTTTAGCCAAATCTTTTTATTAGAAAACTAGTGGCCCAGTGCACAAAATTCATATGGGGGGGGGATTCCCTTAGCCTGGCTTGCACCCTCTCCATTCTGGGACATCCCTCTCACAATCCGGGACCACTGGCTCCTAACCACTCGCCTGCCTACCTGCCTGATTGCCCCTAACCCCTCTGCCTGCCTGCCTGATCTTGCCCCTAACTGCTCTCCCCTGCCAACCTGATCGCCCCAACTGCCTCTGCCTGCCTGGTCGCCCCTAACTGCCCTCCCCTGCCAGTCTGATCTTGCCCCCAACTGCCCTCCCCTGCCAGCCTGGTTGCCCCCAATTGCCCTTCCCTGCTGGCCTGATCACCCCTAACTGCCTCTGCCTGCCTGATCACCCCTAACTGCCCTCCCCTGCCAGCCAATTTGGTTCTGATTGGTTGGTTTCTATGCCAGTCAGCGTCAAAAGCTCCGTGGGCTGCAAGGCTGCAGTAGGCACAGGGGCAGGTCTCGGCTTATCCTCACGCCCACGCCTGGCCCCTCCCACCGTGGCCCCTGGTCCCCTGTCTGCTAGCAACCCTGCTCCCGCAGCCGCCGCTCCCATGCACTGACAGCACCAGCCCTGCTCACACCCGCTGAAGGCACACAGTGATTGGGGCTGGTGCTGTCAGCAGGTAGGAGCAGTAGCAGGGGGAGGTGGAGAAGCCCTGAGGGGTGATTGGGGCCAGCAGCCGCCGCTCGCACCTGCTGATGGTGCCGAGTGATTGGGGCCAGTGCTGGGCGCTGGCAGTGGGTGCGAGCGGTGGCTCCGGTGCCAGCAGCAGGTGCAAGTGCCAGGTGGGACCACAGTGTGCAGGAGCAAAGAATTTTCAGTAACCACCAGAGGCTCTCCCTGATGACAGCAACCGGTGCCCCACCTTGGTCTGGCGCCTCCGCTCACCTGCTCCACCATACTGTCTCGGCTAACGCCCGCCATGTTCCGCGCACGCCCCCTGGAGGTCAGTGCACATCATAGCAACTGGTTGTTTGGTTGTTCCCTTTGTTCTGTTGTTCAGTCTATTTGCATATTAGCCTTTTATTATATAGGATAACTAGAGGCCTGGTGCATGAAATTTGTGCACGGATAGGGTCCCTAGGCCTGACTGGTGATCAGGGCCTTCCAGCTGCCTGCTGGGCCTTCCTTCGTTCCACGCCACCCCCTGGTGGTCAGTGCACATCATAGCGAGCGATCGAACTCTCAGTCTCCGGGTGGAACTCCCAAGTGGACACTGCATATTAGCCTTTTATATAGAGATTGTAATTCTGTTATCTTTTTTTTAAAATCCAAAATGTGTTTATTGGGATGGTTCCCCACTCACCTTGACTCCAGGTGCTTTTAGTGCTGCTTCCTTCTGAGGGAGCCTCCTCTGTCAGCCTTACTTTTCCTCCTGTGGGCTGACAGAGGACAGTGGAGGAGCCAACATATAAAACTACCAGCTACAGATGGTGGTGAGTTTATGGCATCCTGGGCATTTCATGTGCATGAAGTAGGAATTGGGGGGGTCATCACCACCAGAAAGGCTGCTGTTATTTTACCTTAAAGCTGTTTTTTTAATCTTACATATATTTTTATTGATTTCAGAGAGGAAGGGAGAGGGAGAGAGATAGGAACATCAATGATGAGAGAGAATCATTGATCGGCTGCCTCCTGCACGCTCCACACTAGGGATTGAGCCAGCAACTGGGGCATGTGCCCTGACTGGGATAGAACTGTGACCTCCTGGTTCATAGGTTGAAGCTCAACCACTGAGCCAAGCTAGCCAGGCTATCTTAATGCTGTTTTTAGAAGAAATCCCTTCCTTATAGTATGAATATTTCCTCAATAAAAGCTATTTTAGATCATTTTTAAAAAGGAAAAATAGTTGTTCAATACTGTTAGGAATATTTACTGTTTGTCCCAGCTAAAACCTGAAAGGATATCTGAAAATGTCAGAAGTTGGCCATATTGGAAGCTGAAATTCAAGTTTGATAAGAACTTTCTTTAAGGCCTTCTCTTTTAAGATAGGAATCTTTTCATTTTCTATCTTAGTTGGAAATCTTCTCCCTGATGTAAAGAAAATTGAAAAGAATGTAGTTGGACCAGCCCTTTTATATCATTTAGATTGCAACCCAGTTCTTTGAGGAATTAAAAATATTTACAATTTGTCTTACAAATTGAGTCCCTTTTTAAAAAAATTATGTTTTTATTGATTTTAGAAAGAGGAAAGGAGAGAGAGAGAGAGAGAGAGAGAGAGAGAGAGAGAGAGAGAGAGAGAAGCATCCATCTGTTGCCTCCTGCCCAAAGCTAGGGCATGTGCCCTGACCTGGAATTGAACCAGTGACCTCGTAGTGCACTGGATTTCATGTAACACCCTTACGCCTTCTCCTTTGATTCTAATGTACAAAACAAGACGCAAAACTGCCATTCTCCGGAGCATTTTCTCAATCTGTTGAGATGTTGCTTCCCGGCAATTGTTGTCGGTTTGGTTCAGATAAACTCATAAAAATTCTCTACAAGGTTTGGATGTTTTCTTACGTCAACAGAAAAAACTCACCTTTAGAAAAACA